ATATAGTTGAATCTTATTTATTTTTTATTTTTTGCGATGGAGTCTTGATCTATCACCCAGGCTGGAGTGCAATAGCATGATCTCCGCTTACTGTAACCTCTGCCTCCCAGGTTCAAAGGATTCTCCTGCCTCAGCCTCCCTAATAGCTGGGATTACAGGCATGTGCCACCATGCCCAGCTAATTTTTGTATTTTTGGTAGAGACGGGATTTTACCATGTTGGCCAGGCTGGTCTTGAACTCCTGACCTCAGTCAATCTGCCCACTTTGGCCTCCCAGAGTGCTGGGTTTATAGACATGAGCCACTATGCCAGGCCTGAATCTTATTAAAAAATAAGAAATCCAATCTGAAAAATATTTGCCTTTGATTTAGGATGTTTAGACCATTTACATTTAAAGTAATTGCTGAAATGATTTTATTAAATCTGTTGTCTTGCCCTTTGTTTGGTATTTGACCCATGTTTCTTTATTCCTTTTTTTCTTCTCGTCTGTCTTTGGTTTAAGTGAATACTTGGTATGATTCTGTTTTACCTTATTTGTTGGCTTATTAGCTATAACTTGTTGTTGTGGCATTTAAGTGGTAAACTCTATTATTTATTTATTTATGTATTTATTTATTGAGACAGGGTCTTATTCTGTTACCCAGGCTGGAGTGCAGCACTGTTATCTCAGCTCACTGAAATCTCTGCCTCCCAGGTTCAAGCTATTCTCATGCCTTGGCCTCTTGAGAAGCTGGGATTACAGGCACCCACCTCCATGCCTGGCTAATTTTTGTATTTTTAGTAAACATGAGGTTTCACCTTGTTGGCCAGGGTGGTCTTGAACTTCTGACCTCAAGTGATCCACCTGCCTTGGCCTCCCAAAGTACTGGGATTATAGGCCTGAGTCACTGTGCCTGGCCAACTCTAAATTTTAAGCTTTAGACTAGACTTTTTTTTTTTTTGAGATGAAGTTTTGCTCTTGTTGCCCAGGCTGGAGTACAATGACAATGGCATGATCTTGGCTCACTGCAGCCTTGGCCTTCTGGGTTCAAGCGATTCTCCTGCCTCAGCCTCCTGAGTAGCTGGGATTACAGGCACCTGCCACCATACCCAGCTAATTTTTGTATTTTCAGTAGAGACAGGGTTTCTTCATGTTGCTCAGGATGGTCTTGAACTACTGACCTCTGGTGATCCACCCGCATCAGCCTCCCAAAGTGCTGGGATTACAGGCGTGAGCCACTGCACCTGGCCTATAGTATAAATCTTTAACATCACAATCTACCTTTAAGTAATATTATACCATTTCATGTAGAGTATTACAATAGTATACTTTCATTTCTTCCTTCTTAGTCTTAATGCTACTATTGTCAAACATTTTGTTTATATATTTACTCATTTAGTGAACCATACATGGTGCTCTTCATTCCTTTGTGTAGATCTAAATTTCTGCCTGGTATTAGGTTTGAGTTTTTTAAAAGTCAAAAGAACTTTTTATTATGGAAAATTTCAGAGTAGATAAAAGTAAACAGAAGAGTATAGTGAACCATGTATCTATTACCCATTTCCAGTGATTGCCAACACTTTTGTACTTTTTTTTTTTTTTTTTTGAGACAGAGTCTTGCTCTGTCGCCCAGGCTGGAATGCAATGGTGCGATCTCAGCTCACTGCAACCTCTGCCTCCCAGGTTCAAACAATTCTTTTGCCTCAGCCTCCTGAGTAGCTGGGATTACAGGTATGCACCACCACACCTGGCTAATTTTTGGATTTTTAGTAGAGATGGGGTTTTACCATGTTGGTCAGACTGGTCTTGAACTCCTGACCTTGTGATCTGACCACCTTGGCCTCCCAAAGTGCTGAGATTACAGGTGTGAGCCACTGCACCCAGCCCACTTTTATACTTTTTATATTTTCTAGCATATGTATGGTTTATATGTTAAAATAAGAAGAAAAAGTTATGGAAATAAAATACATGTCCCTAAGCCATACTGCGAAACTATGGAGATAAATCCTTGGGGTCTGAGTCCAGAAATCTTCATTTTAACAAACAAACAAACAAATCTGCTCCAGTTGATATAATTATATCTGCTTGAGGACTTTCTTTAATATTTCTTCTGTTGCATATGTGCTAGTGAAGAATGTCTTTTAGTTTTTGTGTGTTTGAAAATGTCTTTATTTCATCCTCATTTTAAAAAGATATTTTATCACTGGGTATAGAATTTTAGGTTAATAAATTTTTAACTTCAGTTTATTAAACATGTTACTCAACTTTCTTCTGGCTTGCATTGTTTATCACAAATACTCTGCTGTTCTTATCTTTTTGCTGTTTGTAGATGTGTCTTTTTTTTCCTCTGGCTGTTTTTACCTTTTGCTCTTTATATCTGGTTCTGATCAATTTTATTATGATGTACATTGATGTAGAAACCCTAAGTCACAAAGGTTTACTCCTTTATATTTTCTTCTAAGAGTTTTATAATTTTGGTTCTTACATTTTCATCTATGAAATGATATTTTGAGCATACTTTTGTGTATTATGTGAAGAAAAATCTAATTTAATCCTTTTGCATATGGATATGCAATTGTCTCAGCAACATTTGTTGAAAAGACTATTCTTTCACCTTTGTGGAAAATTACAAGGTTGATTTTCCACCTTGGAAATAAGGGTTTATTTTTTTACTCTGAATTCTAATCATTTATATATGTATCCTTATGCCAGTGCCACACTGTTAATTTCTGTTTTATCGTAGTAAGTTTTAAAATAAGGAAGAGACATTCCTCCAAATGTGTTCTTTTTTCAAGATTGTTTTGGTTATTCTGGGGTACTTTAAATTTCCATATTAATTTTATCATCTTGTCAATTTCTGCAAAGAAGCCAGCTAGGATTTTAATACAGATTATGTTGAATCTATAGATCAATTTGGAAATATATGTTCTATCTCTTTATTTATTTTCTCTATATAAGGAGACATCATAATCATACCTTCCTTTATTTCTTTAATCATGGGTTTCTTCAGTTTTTAAAATATATCTATAATGGCTACTTTGAAATCAGTTAAATCTGATACCTGGGCTTTCCCAAGATAATTTCTGTTGTCTTCCTTTGTTTTTCCTGTTTATGGTTTATACTTCATTGGTGGTTGTTGTTTTGCATGAGTTACAATTTTTGTTAAAAAACAGACTTTTAAGATATTACAGCAATTTTGGATATTGATTTTTATCTTCCCTTCTTCCTTCCCAGGCTTGTTGCTATTTGCTTATTTATTTGTTTAGTAACTTGGCTGTACTATTTTAGTAAAATCTATTTCCCTTATAATATGAAGCTTCTGATGTCATTCTTCAGAGGGCACAGCCTTGGGCACATGCACATTCACCCTGGGATGACAGTAGTTTAGCACAGCACTTTCAACTATCTCTTTTCTTAATCTTTCTGTTAAGCCATCTGCCGTTGTTTGACTCACAACCTGCTCTCAGGCTCTACTAATTACCAATCGAACTCTTTATTGTGTTCAGTTTATACCCTGTGGATTAATTGCTCCACTGTCTGATCCTATTAAATTCAGACACATTTGCAGGGATAGTTTTTGAAGCCAGTCTTTGAGGTTTGTTCTGATTCTAGGAGGGTTCTCCTTAGCTATCTCTTTTCTCAGTCCTCTCTGCTGAACTAGCTGGACTATAATTTAGCCTGCAGCTCTCATGGAGCTACTGCCTCCTCTTAATTGCTTACCACCAAACTCTCCATTGTTTTTGAGAGTGGTCTTAGGCTTGAACTCTCTGACACTGTCCTCCAAATAAAGTCAGTTTCTTTGGGGAGAGTTTCAGAGTTATTCGTCTTATGACCTGACTCTCCCACTAGGAAAAATCTTTGAGTACCTCCTTCAGAGCTAAAGGCAGGGACAGTGGGACACTTTTCTTGGAGTAGCACCCTTGCTTTATGAGTGGGCTGGTGAATATGAGTGATCTCTGGTCTTCTCAGCTTGTCTCTCCCAACATAAAACCACTACTATGTGAACAAATGAGGGCCAGGACATTAAAGGGCCCAATATTCTCAGATTGCCATGACTATGGTAGGGTAGTCATGGCTTCCTATGAGTAAAGAAGGGATGAAAGAAGAGAGCCTCTGACTTTTTGGGTGGATGAGAGATGCTGGCAAACTTTCTTTCCCAGAAAGATATCCTAGCCCTTGACTGGGAGCTTTGAGGAAAAGGAGCCTAATCTTTCTGGCCATGCCTACCTAGAGCCAGGTTTCCATCATGCTGAGCTGAGGGGAAGGGAGGGAACAAGTTATGCTCAAGTGCCACAGAGTCTGGCTGTCTATAGTAAGATTAGGTAGATTTTCTTGAATGTTTCTTTGTTTGCTGTATGACTTAGGACAAGTTTCAGAGACTTTCAATGGTCACTGTTTTATAATTTTCACCAGTTTTTGTTGTTTTGTCAGGGGGTGGATCCATGAAGTGGTGGCCTTATATTATCAATCTGGCAATACATTATACCTTATATTATATTACCATTTGACTGTTCATTTTTATGTACTCATTTATTTGACACAGGGTCTCACTCTGTGACCCAGGCTGTAGTGCAGTGGCAATTACAGCTCAATGCAGCCTCAAACACCTGGGCTTAAACTATCATCTCATTTTAGCCTCCTAAGTAGCTGTGACTATAGGCACATGCCACCATGCCTGGATTAAATTTTTTTTTTAGAAATGGGGTCTTGCTATGTTGCCCAGGCTGGTTTCATATTCCTGGCCTCAAGTGGTCCTCCCATCTCAGCCTTCCAAAGTGCTGGGATTATAGGCAGGAGCCACTGTGCCCAGCCTGTTCATATTTTAAAATTCTTTTGTTCTTCTGGGTTTTATTATTGATAGTTCTTATTCTTATGTCTTCAAATTCAGTAATCTTTTCTTACATAATGTCTAGCCAGTCTTTATTTTATTTTTTAAATTTATTTTTATTGGTAAGACTAACCAGGCAATTAATCTGCCTTTAATTCTAGCCAGTGAACTTTTCATATTGGACATTGCAGTTTTCATCTGTAGAAGCTTGATTTGAGTATTTTTCGTATTTTCCTTGTCTCTAATTACCTTTCGAAAATATGTAATACAGTTTAGTGCCTTGTTTTCTAATTCTAACATCTGTGTCAGTGATGGATCAAATTTAATTTATTTTTCTCATCATACGTTGTAGACTCAGGGATCTTTGCTTAACTTTGCTTCATTTTTGATTGGATGCCAGATTTTATGAATTTTACCTGGTTGGGTGATGGACCTTTTTATGTTTATATAAATATTTGTTCTAGAACACAATTATGTTACTTGTAAACAATTTGAGCTTTTCTGGTCTCTCTTTTCTAATTAGTTTGACAGGACTGATTAGTATTTAGTCTAATTATTCCCTTTTACTATGTACCATCCCATTAAAAGGAAAACTTTAGGCAAATTAAATTGAACAGTTTAATTGAGCAAAGAATGATTCATGAATTGGGCAGCCCTCAGAACCAGCAGTGCAACTCCAGGGCTGCCATGTGGCTGGATAGCATTTATGGACAGAAAAAGGGCAATGACCTACAGAAAATGGAGGTGAAGCACAGAAACAGCTGGCTGGCTACAGCTTGGCACTTAAACATGGTTTTAACAGTTGGCTGCCTTTGCATGGCCAAAATTTGGCTCTTATGATTGGCTGAGGCTTGGCTACTTGTTACAGGAGTGGGTTACAATCTGGTTAGATGTCCAGTTAGGTTACAGTTCTCTGTGTATGGAAAAACTTTTAGCCTGAATTTAAAATATGTAAGGAGGTAGCCTTAGGCTTAACTTAGTTTAACACTACTAATGTAGATGAACTGTGAGGTTTTCTGGTCTGGCTGGTGGGAATAAGCACTCTTCCCTGCCCTGAGTGAGCACTGTTAACCTCTAATCCTTTCAGGTGGTTCTCTCTCTGGTTTCTGATGACTTCCGCACACAAATGTGCTGATCAGTAGGTCCTCTAATGAATATTCAAGGATCCTTTGCAGGTCTCCCAAATTCTCTCTTTACAGAGTCCTCTCTTCTCTGGTGTTGATTCCCAGGAACTCTAGCTGTTTTGATCTCCCTGACTCTCACCTCTGTCTCCCCAATCAGGGATCCACCAGCCTTTGCCTGTGTTCTCCACTCTGCGCCACAGCCTGAAAACTGTCTCAAGGCCACAAGATGGGGCAGTCTCTTAGGGATCACTGACTGTTTTTTGCTGCCTCAATCCATGTTTTGAAACTTTTTTTTTTAATGTCTCATCTTTTGTTGTTGTTACTGTTAGGCAAGCACACAAATCTGGCCCCTGTTATGCAGAAGTCTGGGGTACCCCTTTCAATGTCTGTATTTCTCTCAGAATCCAGTAAATGGAATTACATTAGATCTGCATGCTAATAAGAAAGCAAAAAGCACAGAGAGTATGATTATTTTGTGTATAAATAAGAAAAGCACTTGACGAACACATTACTTCAAGACATCAAAAGCCAAGTGCAAAGAGCTGCTCTGGATAAATTCTAACATCTCCTGGTGGGCTGTATTTTCTGGAAAGATCTCCCCAGCCAAAGGAAGAAAAGGTATGTAGTAATCACCTCAAACATTCAATAAAAACAGGCACAACTGTTGCAAACTTCCTTTTTGTGGTGTGTCCTTCCTCTCTCTCTCCCTTCTTCTCTCCTAAAATTGCCATATCTCGAACTGGCTTTAGAGCAACAAGAAAGACTAAAGTGTTTATGTTAGTAGCTGAGAATTTGGTTTTACTTCAACTGTATCTCTTTAAGTAAAATAACACCATGAAAGCAAAACATATCAGTATTTCAAAATGTTTCTGTTTCAAAACCCAAACAACAGCCTTTGAATACTTAACTTTCATAGTTCTGTTTTTACCAGACACTGGAAAACATTGAAACCAAACCAATCCCCCAGAAATGTGTTCCTAACCACAACTCCATGTAGGCAGACAGACAGAAGTTATGTCGGTTTCTGGAAAAGAAAGGCTTAGGCACCACATTTAACCATTTCACCTTCTTTGTTCATTTGTTCTTGGTCTGTCTCTCTTCCAGGTAGTGAAGGCCAGGTGTTAGACACATCAGTCCTTTTCTGCCTCAGTTCAGGCTGGGCTTCTGGGTTTCCTGGAGGCCTTTCTTTGCCTCCTAATCTCAGCTGTGCCCAGGAAGAGTGGGTCTCCTGGGTTCTTTCCATGTTGGCTTGACCCCAGCAGAGCTGGAGGCTTAGCTGGAATGTGCACAGTGACGTGGTGAAGCACTCCTTTTGTGTCCTATTTTGAGACTCCTCTTTCATGGTTCCTGGTTCTGGGTGCCCTCTGCTCTAAGTGTCGCATTCCAGGGGACCCCTTCTCTCTGCACAGTCCACATGCAGTGGAGGAGACACCCAGATCCAGCCCCTTCGTTTGCATGTGGCTACAACTGTGGTAGGTGAATCTCAGGAGTGGTGTTGGTGGTCAGGTCCTGCCTGCAGTGGAGACAGGAGAGGAGGAGAAGGCCAGCCTGCAGACAGAAAGAACAGAAGCGAAAAAGGAAGATGCCTTTGCACTTCTAAAGCAAGCCCCTTCCTGAGACCCAGATGTTTCATCTCCTTGACATTAGGAGATATCTTTGAAGCTGCTCGATAACTATCTCCTCGCAGCTACCCTTTTTTTTCCCACCTTATCTAGCTCTCCAGTTGGTTCCTTTTACATAGCACAGTTATTTTTTAAAAATCCTTTCTAATTTCTTGGGGGATGTTAATGATGCGATATTTTCTAGGTTTTGTGCTAGCTATATGTTAGGCAGGGTGTGGTGGCTCACACCTGTAATTCTAGCACCTTGGGAGGCAGAGCCAAGCAGATCAACTGAGGTCAGGAGTTCAAGACCAGCCTGACGAACATGGTGAAACCCTGTCTCTTACTAAAAATACAGACATTAGCTGGGCATGGTGGTGCATACCTGGAATCCCAGCTACTTATGAGGCTGAGGCTGAAGAATCACTTGAACCTGGAAAGTGGAGGTTGCAGTAAGGAGAGATTGTACCACTGCACTCCAGTCTGGGTGAGAGAACGAGACTCCATCTCAAAAAAAAAGAAAGAAAAAAGAGAAAAGAAAGTTATGTGCTAAAGAAGTGCTGTCCAGTAAGAATACAATGGGAGTCATATATGTTACTTTAAATTATTTAGTAGTTACATTTGAAAAAGTAAAATGAAGCAGGTTAAACTCATTTAGTAACATGTTTTATTTAACCCAATGTATCCAAGATGAGAGAAAAACATCTGGGCCTTCAAACTGTGTTCTATTATCAGTTCTTGTTTTTAGAGACAGTTCTCACTCTGTCACCCAGGCTGGAGTGCAGTGGCACAATCACGGCTCACTGTAGCCCTGACCTCCGTCCCAGGCTCAATCAATTCTGCCACTTCAGCCTCCTGAATATCTAGAATCACAGGCGCCTGTCACTGGGCCTGATTGGTTTTTTTTTTTTTTTTTTTTTTGAGTGACAGAATCTATAAAAACTGTTACCTTTGGCCTTAAACAGTGAATACCAACTCTATGATCAAAAAAGGCCACGACAGTTAAGATTGTATTACTTGATTTTATTTTACGTTAGGTGGTGGGAACAAAGTAATCCTCCTTAATAAAGTTGACAATTAGCTTCACTCAACATTTTTAATAATGCACATTTTAAAAAAGTATTCATTTTGCAAATGCTGTCCAGGCTGGTTGCCCAGGCTTAATTTCCCAGGGTCACATGATTCTCCTGCCTCAGCCTCCCAAGTCCTGGGATTACAGGTGTGTGAGTCACCACACAGAGCCCTACAATTAGTTCTTGTCAATGTAAACTTCTGTATACAAGACACTTAGTTATAACATACAAATAGAATGATTGATTAGCCTGAACCCTTATTCTGAGTTTTGTAAACCCATTGCTGCTGATGAATATTAAAGAAACTCATGAGCTTTAGGCAATTGTTTAGAAGTGTTGTGACAGTTTCCACCACGGAAACAAGGCTGAAGAGGAAGAGTTGTCCATAGTGGATGGTGACTCTCTCATCAGCTCTCTCTTCACTCCCTGGCTAGAGGCCACTAGGTCAAAGTTAGTGCCTCAAATTATGGAATTGGGGTCAAATAATCTAATCCTACACTAGGAAGAAGGAATTTAGCGGAGTAAAAAGAACACCAGAGACCAGGTGCTGTGGTTCACGCCTGTAATCCCAGCACTTTGGGAGGCCAAGATAGGCAGATCACCTGAAGTAAGGAATTTGAGACCTGCCTGGCCAACAGGCACTCTATTCCCTCTGTTGCTCGGATCCGTAACCACGTGTTGGCACTTCTATTCTGCTGAAACAGTTACCAAGAAAAGAGCCAGACCTGGGTTCTCGAGGCTTAAAACTCTCCAATATGAATGCTGTCTCCTCTCAGTTTTCACAGCCTATGCTGCGAAAGTCTATGCTCCCTAAAGCAGCCTTCTCATGCATGCACCATTTCTCTCTCTCCTCTCAGGTGGGCTGTGGGTGTGGTCATCACAGACCTTCCCACTTCTCTGAAATGGGGAAATGGAAGAGACACTGAGCTCCCCTGGACTGACTTGGATCTATCAATTCTTTCTCTCCTCAAGGTGAGTTCTTTCTCAACAGATGCCTCGCTGAGAGGCTAGGTGAGAGGGCTCCCACGGGGATTCTAGTGTTGGGGACTGGTCATCAACTCAGTGGGTTCTGTCATGCTCTTGCCCTTATGCAGATAAGTCCAAGTCAGCCTGTTCAGTTTTTCTTATGCATAAGTGAAAAAATATTCAGTCATGCATTGCTCAGAATGGGGATATGATCTGGAAAATATGTCCTTAGGCGATTTTATTGTAGTGCAAACACCATAGAGTGTACTTAAGCAAACCTGGATAGTACAGGCTACTACACACCTAGACTATGTGGTATAGCCTACTGCTCCTAGACTGCAAACCCGCAGCAGGTTACTGTCCTGAATACTGCAGGCAGTTTAAGTATGTGTGCATCTAAGCATATCTCAACATAGGAAAGGTGCAGTAAAAATACAGTATTATAATTTTGGAAACACTGTCATTTATGCAGCCCATTGGTGACTAAAACTTTATGCAGTGCATGACTATGTACATGCATATGTTTGTCTATTATTTATAAATGCATAGTGAATGGTTTTTCTTCTGGCTCATTGAAATCCCTGAAACTCATTTAAAAATTTTTTTTACTTTAAGTTCTGAGATACATGTGTGGACCATGCAGGTATGCTACATAGGTATAAATGTACCATGGTGGTTTGCTATGCCCATCAACCTGTCATCTAGGTTTTAAGTCCCGAATGGATTAGCTATTTGTCCCAATGCTCTCCCTCCCCTTGGCCCTCCTCCAACAGGCCCTAAGTGTGTGCTGTTCTTTTCCTCATGTCCATGTGTTCTCATTGTTCAGCTTCCACTTGTGAGTGAGAACATGTGGTGTTTGGTTTTCTGTTCCTGTGTTAGTTTGCCAAGAATGATGGCTTCCAGCTTCATCCATGTCCCTGCAAAGGACATGATCTCATTCCTTTCTATGGCTGCATAGTATTCCATGGCATATATATACTACATTTTCTTTATCCAGTCTATCATTGATGAATCCCTGAAATTGTTATTGTTATATTAAGTTTAGCCTAAAGCTGCCTCCTTACTTATTTTAAGTTAGGCCTAAAGGTTTCTCCATACATAATGATCTATGAGTAAATAAGACTGTAACCTATTTTGGTAACAATTGGCCAAGTTTCTGCCAATCACAGGTGGCCAACTGTTCAAACGGTGTTCAAATGAGGCAAACTCCAAGCTGTGAGCAGTCCAGCTGTTTCTGTACTTCCCTTCCATTTTCTGTATGTCACTTTGTTTTTTCTGTCTATATGTGTTATCCAGGCATGTGGCAGCCCTGGAGTTGCTCTGAGGGTTCTGAGGGCTACCCATCCATGAATCATTCTTTGCTTAGTTAAACTCTGTTCAATTTAATTTGTCTAAGGTTTTTCTTTTAACAGTATTATTGTTATTATTATTATTGAGACAGGGTCTCATTCTGTTGCCCAGGCTGGAGTACAGTGGTGTGATTTCAGCTTACTGCAACCTCTGCCTGCCAGGTTCAAGCGATTCTCCTGCCTCAGCTTCCCAAGTAGCTGGGATTACAGGCATGCACCACCATGCCCAGCTAATTTTTTGTATTTTTAGTAGAGATGGGGGTTTCACCATGTTAGTCAGGCTGGTCTTGAACTCCTGACCTCATGTGATCCACCTGCCTTGGCCTCCCAAAGCACTGGGATTATAGGCATGAGCCACCATGCCTGGTCTTTTTAACATTAATTTTCTGTTTTTATTTTTCAAGACAAGGTCTCATTCTGTTGACCAAGCTGGAGTGTGGTGGCGCAATCACAGCGCACTGTAGCCTTGACCTCCCTGGGCTCAAGTGATCCTCCCAGCTCAGCCTCAGTGGGGACCACAGGCACATGCCACCATGTCCTGCTATTTTTTTGTTTTTTGTAGAGATAGAGTTTCACCATGTTGCCCAGGCCAGATGAATAACTTTGGTTATTTCTTGCATATGTCATGGTATTTAAAGTCAGAAGCTTTGGATCTAGGACAAACGTGACTTTCAATCCTGGTTTCATTGCTGCCTCACTGACATTTCAGGCTAATCTCTCCCTTCAGGCTTAGTTTCGCTACTGAATTGCCTCACATATGATCTGATTTGCTCCAACAGTCTGTGAAGTGTTAATAACCACAATTTATGCAGAGATATCTGGAGCACATATGTTTGCTGATTGGTTTCATTATATATTTATATGTTTATTCTGGCCATGACCCCAGTATTCCAGAGAAGCCAAAGTCCCAAACTCCTATAAGAAATCAATAATATGAAAAGAACAAAGCAAAATAAAGACACCTAAAATTGAATATAAACAGAAACAAACGAACCTAACTGTACATCAGATGCTTACATCACCACGCAGAAAGAATAAATAACTAAATTGGCCTCTGAACCCCATGCTCTGATTTATAGCCTTGGTGGATACGAGGAAAAATAAGACTGTGTGGAAAAATTTCGAATTTACTTGATAGTTTTGTTGTCGGAAGCAGCACTGGTTGAGTGATATTGGAATTATTTCCTGTATATTAAGGGATAGATATGTTACATGTTGTTGGAAGGGTTCTCACTGAGGGGAGAGGAAAATATCAGTAGGTCATGGGGAAAGGTGAGAAAGAAGAGCTGTGGTTGTATTAGTGTCAGCTCATCATTGTTGTTTTAATCTTATCTGTTGAAAGGACCTATATGCCCTCTCCAATATCATTGAAATACCTAGCACAAAAATCTTGATGTCTAATTACCATTTCCCATTAAGAGGAATCATAGGTCCTTAGAGAAACAGGTGACTGCTATAGCTGACAGGTAACGTAAAGGCGATCTGAAACCTGTTTTTTTTTGAGACAAAATCTCACTCTGTCACCCAGGCTGGAGTGCATTGGCGTGATCTCGGCTCACTGCAAACTCTGCTTCCTGGGTTTAAGTGATTCGCCCACCTCAGCCTCCTGAGTAGCTGGAATTACAGGCACCCGCCATCATGTTTGGCTAATTTTTGTATTTTTATAGAGGTGAGGTTTCACCATGTTGGCCAGGCTGGTCTTGAACTCCTGACCGAGGTGATCTGCCTACCTCGGCCTCCTGAAGTGCTGGGATTACAGGTGTGAGCCCCTGTGACTGGCCCTGAAACCTTTACTATGTCATATACATATTAAATACCAAGGGAAAGATACCTTTACAATAAGAAATCTAGTGGACATACCTTAACCCAGTCAGCTTCACCAACAGTGGGATAAATTTACCTCTGTGCTCCCTGCTATAACACAATGGGAAGGATATGATATCACCTCAGCAGTATTCTTGCCAAAATGTTAACCTGAATCTTATTAGGAGGAAACACGTAAACAAATACAGATTGTGTGACACTCTGTAAGACAGCTAGCTCTCTAAACAGGTCAAAAATCTTGGAAAATAAAAACAAACAAGCATGAAACTCTTCAAGATTAAAAGAGATTCAGGCCAGATGCGGTGGCTCATGCCTGTAATCCCAGCACTTTGGGAGGCTGAAGTAGATGGATCACCTGAGGTCAGGAGTTCAAGACCAGTCCAGTCTGTCCAATATGGCAAAACTGCATCTCTACTAAAAATCCAAAAAATTAGTCAGACGTGGTGGCACGTGCCTGAAATCCCAGATACTTGGGAGACTGAGGTGGGAGAATTGCTTGAACCTGGGAGGCAGAGGTTGCAGTGAGCTGATATTGCACCATTGCACTCCAGCCTGGGTGCAACAGAGCACTCAGTCTCAAAATAAATAAGTGAATAAATAAATGAGATTCAAAGAGACATAATAAATACTAGATCCTTGATTGGATCTTGGCTCAACCATAACAACAAAAAGAACTTTAAGGACTACTATTAGGACAGTTGGAGAAATGTGACTATAGAGTGCATATTAGTGACATTAATTAATGTATTAATATCAATGTGAACTATCTTGGGAGTGATAATGTTATAGTTTTATAGGAGAATGTTTATGGTTATGGGATGTACATGCTGAAGTACTTAGGGGTGAAATGTGATGAGAACTCTAATTTACTTGTAAAAGGTTCAGCCAAAAATGTATGTGTGGTTCAGCCTATATATCTATATCTATAACGAGAGAGAGAGAAAGCAAAAGTGGCAAATGCTATCCATCGGTGAATGTAAGTGAAGGGCATCTGAATGGTTTTTTCTATTATTTCCATTACCCTGTAGCTTTGAAAAATTTCAAAATAAAAAGTTGGGGGAAAATTCCAAGGTGACTTCTGGTGTAATACAGCCAATACCTCCCTTCTGGCAGCAGCCGCCTGGCTGGAACATTAGCGTGAGTCCAGAGAGCCTCTAGAGAGAGACCATATTGCTTTCCCTGCTTATTCTCATGAAGTTTTTAGACAGATTGTAAAGTTTGTTGGAAATAAAGTTCAGTCCTAGAGTCCAGAATCCAGAGTTGGAAAGGGGCTTAAAGTCATCTAGTTCAGTAGTTCCAGACTCTTGGATTTTATGCACTAAGTTAAAAAGATATGCATATATACACACACATATGAACAAAGTAAAACCAAAAATGAAGGAACTGACATAAAGTTGCTAATCCATTTTGTCTAGTAATGACTGATGTAAAATTTTTTAAAAACTCATCTATCATTCTGTTTTCATACTTAGGTCATTAAAAATTTCATTTTTACCACAAAATGCAATTTATTATTCTCAGAGTGAAGTTTTTAGAAAATTGGCAACGTTCAGCCACGTGAACACAAACTCTGTCTTTCCTCCCTTCCTTCTTTCCTTCCTTCATTGACAAATAAAAATTGTTTTGATATATGTATACATTGTGGAATGGTGAAATCAAGCTAATATAACCTTTATTTCACATGCCTGTCATTTTTTTGTGGTGAGACCATTTAAGATCTATTCCAAGCAGTGTTCAAGCATAAGATCCATTGCTGTTAACTATGCAGTCAGCACCTTGCCCAGCAAGGTGTCTAGCTCATTCGTGGGTCAGGATGGATGAGAAAGGGGTGGCAAGCTGCTGAGTCACTGCATAGGCTCTGGAGAGCAATTCCTCCTATGGGAGTCATGTGGCTCATGTCCTGACAGGTGGCAAGTCGGCCCCCAGAGGAGAAGAATAGCTAACTCCTTTCCCCAGAACCTCTTCCACTGGACATCTTTGTCAAAAGTAAGTAAGCCACCAGGCACTTTGTCAAAAGTAAGTAAGCCATCACAGCACTTTGGGAGGCTGAGGCAGGCAGATCACTTGAGGTCAGGAGTTCAAAACCAGTCCGGCCAACATGGTGAAACCCTGTCTCTAATAAAAATACAAAAAAATTAGTGGGGTGTGGTGGTGGGCACCTGTAATCCCAGCTACTCAGGAGGCTGAGGCAAGAGCATTTTTTGAACACCGGGAGGCAGAGGTTGCAGTGAGCTGAGATTGCGCCACTGCACTCCAGCCTGGGCAACAAAGTGAGACCATCTCAAAAAAAAAGAAAAAAAAAAAGTGAGCCTCTTCTTTAGATGAGTTGGGAATGAGTTGCTCTGGCCTCTCCTTTAGATGAGTTGGGATGAGTTGCTCCATTGCGTCCACACTCTGAGTGTTACTCTGCCATGTGGAACACCTCGGAATTTAGAGCCACCTCAATTTTGCTCCCTGAATAAGGTCAGGTATGAATACAGAAAGAAGTAAACCAGGAGCCGATCTTTCTCCTCTTTGATGAGTATGCTTGCACAATTTGAAGGTTGCTGTTATGCTTTTCTTAATCCTCTCCAGATGGAACATGTCAGTCTTTCAAAGATTTTTCTCAGTCTGGTGACTGGTGACTTGTTCCATATTTCTTGGTCAACCACAAGGTGCCAGGACTATCGTGGTGCTAGTCCAAAGTGCCAGGACTATCGTGGTGCTATCTTGTGGGGCCCTGTGGTGTCTCTACCGCATTGTAGTGACATGCTCAGTGAAGGCGACCTGTTAGGCATTTCATGGGTGGCTCAGAGATCCCCAGTGAGGGGATGTGGCTGTCTTCAGGAGATGCATGAATGACAGCTGTGTCCTCAGACTCTTGCTCCCACAGGGTCACACATCTGTTTCTCTCTCATTGGCTTCAGGCCCTCTCTTACCTCATGTGTGAGGCCAGCCCCGCAGCACCTGAGTCTACCTCACCTTTGTCCCAGTTGCACATGGAAGCCAGGTGGACCCTCAGGACCTCAGTTCCAAATTCCTACAAGAGAAGTTCACTGGTCTATTTTGGATCAGATATCTACCCACGCCTACCTGTGGCCAAGCAGCTGGGGTAGTAGTAAAGCAACATTTGCCAGGTCTCCCGCCCCACCCCCTTCACACTTTTTCTTTTTTTTTTTTTATAGAAGGAGCTTTCTTCATAGGAAAGAGTCTTTCTGAACTGGGCAGAGTTTTCACGAAAGCATCTGCTGTAAGATTCTTTAACTTATTCACTGGCAGTATTTGAAGAAAAAAAAGATTCCTTAAGTTACGACTCTGGAAATATAGAAAAAGGAATAAATGGGAAAAATTGGACTCACTTTGGAGTGGTACACTCTGTATCAAACAATTAAACAGAAACACCACACACAGTCTGTGGTTCACCCCGGCGGCAGCTGGGAGGATGACAGCCGGCCCGCCCTTCCTGCTTAGCCTGTCTCTCCTCTTGCTTAATCTCTGGTGGGGTCTGACATGCTGATCTCTGCTGAAATGGGCCCAGGGGTTAGGATTAAAACAAATTTCAGGGATTTCCACAGACACTTTATCTATAAATTCTCAAAAAGCACTCAACAGTTGTCTCCTTAGCTCTAGTTAGCGCATGTGTGAGTTATGTCACGAGGCTGGAGGGTAGGAGGTTTGCATCCTTTCAAAATGCCCGCGTGTGCATGTGGGAGGTCCTTATTATTCCTGTTAGTCCAAACTGCACCATGTTGCAAGCTCCCCACTATTTTGCAGACTTTGGTCAAAGTGAAACATTCCATGGGCGTTTGGGCCATGAGAAACATCCTGCCGAACCACCTGACCACAAGGCGGGCAAAGGCCCAACTAAAGAAACACCCTTATCATATTCTGCTGGGACAAAGTGCAAGGAACACCACACACTGGAACAAGGGCCAGAACCACCTCATCCTGGGAACATTTTATCAATACCCTGCCGGGCAGCAAGCCATCCTGCCCAGACCCCTCCCACCCATACCTGTAAGTACCCCCAGCCTTTAAGCAGTGGTGGGCTCTGACATTAAGCTGGTCCCCACTTCTGCAGGTTTCTGCAATATAAGTGTTGCTGTTTAAGCTGCCCTCTCTCCTTCTCTGTGTGTCTTTCTTTAACCCTCGCCTTCCCTTCCAAACCTAGCAGTCCCGGCAGTGGGCTTCTCTGTGCTATGGCTCTGAGACAGTTTACAACAGGTTCTGACATTTGGGAGGGGAGAGCAGCTCTCAAGTTGAATATGACCCAACAATGGCTGCTGACCTATGCGAAGCCAGAGACTCCTAGATACTCCTGGAATGATGCCAGCAAATGCCTCTCCTACTGTAGTGCGCCCTGAGCCCACTATTTTTACAGGCCAGTAGTTCCCAGATGTAGAGCAGCAAATGGGAATCTCTGATCATCTGATAATAGGCTTGCAAGCCACAGGAAAGAAAACAAAGCAAAAAAATCCAAACATCCTCTCTCTTTTTTTTTTTTTTTGAGATGGTGTCTTGCTCTGACGCCAGGCTGGAATGCAGCGGTTCGATCTCAGCTCACTGCAATCTCCGCCCCGTGGGTTTAAGCCATTCTCCTGCCTCAGCCTCCCAAGTAGCTGGGACTACAGGCACGTGCTACCACACCCAGCTAATTTTTGTATTTTTAGTGGAGACAGGGTTTCAGCATGTTGGCCAGGATGGTCTTGATCTCCTGACCTCATGATTCGCCTGCCTCTGCCTCCCAAAGTACTGGGATTACAGACACGAGCTACTGCACCCAGTCTACAAATGATATTTTCATATCCACAAATAGGAAAGTTATACTCTCAGAATAATATAATTGGATACATTTCCTGCCAGGAAAGCTTATCACATTTCCTCCCCCCGCCATTTTGTTGCAGATTGGTGGCAGTTTGTCATGGGCAAATTGGGAGTTGTATTTTAGGCGTGACATGCAATGGGAGATAGAAGAAGGGCCAGGCCTGCCCTCCTCAAGCTCGTCCCCAGGATCTTGGCTCCAGGCAACCCTCAATGGCATCTTGTCCAACCTCCTTCTCAGTGTTTAGATGAAAGAAATGATACAGCTGAGGTCTAATAATGGAGACATAATAATGACACAGTGTAAAATATGGAAATCCTCTCAAGGAGGAATGGAAAGTTCTCCTTGAAAGAAAGCAAAGAGGCTCCAGGAAGCAGCATATAAACTAGACTGAGGAGTGCTGTGATTTAGACCAATGCTTCTCCAACTTTACTGTATGTCAGAATTACCTAGAGGGCATGTGAAAGCACAGAATCCAGTCTCCAAATTAGTATTCTAAAAAGGAGCCTGCAAACTTGAATTTGTAACCATTTCTCAGATGCTGCTGAGCCTGGCCTGGAGACTATGCTTTGACAATCACCAATTTAGATGTCTAGAGATTTGGGACTTCCGCAAAGGTACAGAGGCCGAAAGGTAGAGTGGGTGGGTGCAAGAAAGGTGGGTAGGTGGGATTCTGTAAAATAGTGAATGCTGTGCTAAAGAGTTTAGACTTTAGTTTGATGGGCAAGGGGAGGCGTACAAGAATTTTAAACAGAAGAGTAGAATGTAAAATCTTCTTTTTTTTTTGAGATGGAGTCTCTTTAGCCCAGGCTTGAGGGCAGAGGTGAGATCTTGGCTCACTACAACCTTAACCTTCGCTGCCTCGCTGCCCAGATTCAAGCGATCCTCCCACCTCAGCCTCCGGAGTAGCTGGAATTATAGGCGTGGCCGCCATGCCCAGCTAAGTTTTGTATTCTTAGTAGAGATGTGATTTCACCATTTTGGCCAGGCTGATCTCTAACTCCTAACCTCATGGTTCACCTGCCTCGGTCTCCCAAAGTGTTAGGATTACAGGCGTGAGCCCCTGTGCCCGACCAAGAGTAGAGTTTAAACCAGTATCACATAAGAAGGAGTATATTCTAGAACATGGATGAACCTTGGAAACATTATGTTAAGTGAATGGAATCAGAAACAAAAAGACACATATTGTATGATTCCATTCATTTTCTCAATATTTTTTGAGCATCTATGGTACATTCTTGTGCAAGCAAATGTCTTGTTATTGTGGCCAGCTGGGGCTGGTTTAACATATCAGATGTTTATATTGTTTCTTTTTCATTTTCTAGATACACCTGTTTTCTATTCCTTGTCTGAGCTACAGCCCTTCTTCTCAAATCCCTTCGATAGTAAGGAAGTAATGCCTTTTTCGTTTCTTTTCTCTGGATCATGCCCTGGGATTAGCCTAGATAATGCAGTCCAGACAAGGGCCTGTACGCATGATAGTATGGTCACTTCACTGAAATCTCCCCAAAGTGTGGCCTTCTCCCCCTCGGGCCCAAAACCCCACTCAGTGGCCTTGCTATTCTGTTCTGAACCACTGTCTTCAGCTCTGACTCATTTCTGCCTCTACAGCTGGCCTGTCTTTCTGGTTCTGCCACTTCTTGGGCACTAGCTTAATCTTATGGACCACAGCTTTTCTGCTTGGACCTGGATCTGTCTTCTGACATTTTTATTTTTATTTTTTAATCATTCCTGCCTTTTCTTCACAACATTAATGGGACCAAATCCCTGTTTATACATTTGAATTCTGACACTGCGGCCACAACAACAGAAGTTTGGGAAATAGCCTATTTCCTAGAAGGGTCAGGGTGCAGAGGTGAGCTCGGACTGCAGGCTTCCCAGGCCAGGACTCCTCGATGAGCTTTTGCATCTCTAGCTCCTGGCTGCATGTCTGGCACACAGCAGTACCTAATTCATATTTGGGGGAGCAGAGTCAGAACCAGTATGTGTGCATCCTGGGTGGGGGATTCAGGACAAAAAGAAAATCAGTTGAATATTATATCAGTTGGGGTTCTCCAGAGAAGCATGAACTAATAGGAGATGAATAGATAGATAAATAAATAGAAGATAGATAAACAGAGAGATTTCTTTTAGGGAATTGTCTCATGCTATTATGGAGGCTGGCAAATCCAAAATCTGCAGGGCAGGCCGCCGGCTGGAAGCCCTTGGGAGAGTTGATGCTGCAGCTTGAGTCTGAAGGCAGAATCCCTTTTTCCTCTAAGGAGGTCAGTCTTTTTGTCTTAAGACCTTCAACTGGTTGGACAAGGCCCACCTACATTAGCAGAATACCCTGCTTTACTGCAAGTACACTGATTTAAATGTTAATCTCAGGTAAGCTATTTTCACAGAAGCATTTAGAATAATGTTTCATTAAGTATCTATGGCCTAGCCAAGTTGATACATAAAAGTAACCATCACAAATATCATTGTTGGGTTTATTGTTTGCTCTTTAGGTAAGAACTCTAGGGCACTAAAAATAACATAGTTGAGTGGGAAATGTGTTTCACAGACATGATTTCATATGTTCTACAAATATTTATTATTTTTATTCTTTGGGAGAAATTCCTCAGCCCTGCAAGGAAAGCACCAAAATGTATTTTCTGAATCCCCTCCAGTCAACAGGGAGAAATAGGACCAGTGTGTGTATGTGATTATGCCAGCCAGCACTGACTCACTCATCTTTGCAGCTGATTCTTTACGTTGAGATTTGATATTTTATTTTCCAGTCTGTTCAACATTTTTTTCCTGCATATCCCTGAGAAGGCCTCAAACTAAAAACTAAACTCATGGGATGGTAATGAACATGTTTACTGAAGTGCATGGGGTTGAATCCTGTCTGTGTCCCATCAAGGCAAACCTTTGCAGGGACTCTGCCTCAGTTTCCAGAACAATGGCACCTTCCTTTAGGCAGGGGACTGTAACATCGTTGACATAAGAAGCCTGGCAGGGCCTGTGGGTACCTGGTACCTACCTAGCAATTAACACTCAGTCAGTGTTGCTGTGGTTACTCGCATTATGCTCCCTTCCAGACTTTCATAGTCAAAAAAGAAGAGTAGCCCTAGTTATCCTTAAACCTTCTGTTTAAGTTTCTTTTCTTCCCTTCCTTATCCTCTGTATGCAAATGTGCATTTGGCAACCACTAGGGAGCTTTCAGATTCTTTATCTCTCACACCCACCAGAACCTAGAATTAAGCTTGTTAAGATGAGAGTATAATTTTGTTCATGGAGAATAAAAAGTGAAATAAATATTGCATCAGGGGAAAAATATGTGAAGACACCCAAGTGACAGAGAATGGCTGTAAGGATATGAGCATATATAAAGTAAGAAAGTGTGATTCTAAAGGAGCAGTTTATTTTTGTCTGAGCAGCCTAGCCGGGCCTTCTCCTTTCTGTTCCAGTCTAACCAGTGTGGAGCTTTAGGTTTTACAATTTTGATAATTTGATAAGTGGAAAATTTCCTTCCTTTCTTCTTTCCTTCCTTCCTTCCTTCCTTCCCTCCTTTCTCTTTCTTTCTTCTTTTTTTTTTACTGTCTCATTCTGTTGCCCAGGAGTACAGTGGCACAATCTCAGCTCACTGCAACCTCTGCCTCCCAGGTTCTCTCGAGTAGCTGGGATTACAGGCATGCACTACCAAGCCTGGTTAATTTTTGTGTTTTTAGTAGAGATGGGGTTTCACCATTTTGGCCAGGCTAGTCTCGAACTCCTGGCTTGAAGTAATCCACCTGCCTTGGCCTACCAAAGTGCTGGGATTACAGATATGAACCATTGCACCCAGCCCAAAATTCTTTCCTGAAGCTTTAATCTGTATTTTTAATTACTCGTGAAATTGAACACTTTCTTCATACATGCATTTCCTACTCATGAACTGCTTGATTGCATCTGCTTATTTTTCCTAATGGATCTTGATGGTTTTGTTTAAAAAATAATCATAATCTATTAGTTCTTTCTATATTGATTATTAACTGAGTCATATTTATGCCAAATATTCTCCCAGATTGCAGTTTTAAAAATTGTGTTTATGATATTTCTTCCATAAAGCAAGGGTTAATTTTTGGTGGTGAAAACTGCCAGTCTTTCTCCCTGTGATTTCTGAGAGTAAATCTGCATTTCCTTCTCCCTGCTTCCTCCTTCATTTAGGAGAAATGGAGCCAGGGCCCCTCTATCCTCAGGCTCTCCACAATAAACCCCGGGGGCTAATCTTTTTTATTTTTTGAGACGGAGTCTCATTCTATTGCCCAGGCTGGAGTGCAGTGGCGCGATCTTGGCTCACTGCAACCTCCACCTCCTAGGTTCAAGCAATTCTCCTGTCTCAGCCTCCTGAGTAGCTGGGATTATAGGTGCCAGTCACCACACCTGACTAATTTTTGTATTTTTAGTAGGACAGGGTTTTACCATGTTGCACAGGCTGGTCTTAAACTCCTGACATCAGGTGATCCACCCACCTTGGCCTCCCAAAGTGTTGGGAGCCACTGTCATGAGCCACTGCACTCAGCCTGCTACCAGCTAATCTTGATGCCTCACTTTTGAACATCTGCTGACAGAAGAACCAGGGGAGGTTCCAGAGCCTGAAACTCAAGGACCACATGTGAGCTAGGGGAAGAACTGTCCGGAGAAGGCCAGCTTCCCACAGATGTTTACCCAAGGGTGTGTTCTGCCTTAAAGTCCTTAAAATCCCCTGTACCAGAGCTACTGAGGGTTGGTTCTGAGGGTAAGTTTCAGTTCAGTAGAAGAATATGACATTGGACACAAGTGTGCAGGAGGGGGAAGTGTGGGGAGTCGGGAGAGAGCCGCAAAAGGGGCTGGGGCCTCATCAGCATGCTTGGAAACCAAGCCCTCTTTTTTTATTTCCTATTTTTGTTGTTTTTTTAGACCCGGTATGTTTTTCAGTAAAACAGTTGTTATGTAGCTGCAGTTAGAATTTGCATATTTAAGCCTCCCATGTAAACTGAGTGTAAGATGGAGAAAGAATCTTAAGTAATTTAGATGTTACTTCATGCATAGCTATGCACGAAGTAGTGATGCTGTTTTCTAAATCCGGAGTCTCTTCTACATTCAGAAAAACTGAGGAAGGAAGTGAGGGTGTTTGGAAGTCAGCACTTCATTTTTAATAGGCAGTAACAACCCCAAAACAGTTTTATTAGCTTAGGGAAGGGGACAAGGTGACAACTATTGTGAATGTGGGACAGTCAGGGCTAAAACCTCAACAGTCTCATGCAAACTGGGATGGTTTGTCATCTGGACTTGTTATTCCACTCTCCCCCCACCCTGACTAAACGCATGTAACCCTCCTCCAAAATAATGCAACAGTCTTTTAATGTCCATCTTTGACAGAGGATGGAACTACAGATTGAAGAGACTCTTCCTTAAATTCACACAAACTGGGCATAAAGGAATCTGGATTAAACTTGGTTCCATCTGACGTCAGAGAGCCCTTTCTACCCTCCACGCTTGGGATTTATCTGTCAGGCCAGGGAACTCACTCTCTCACTCACTCACTCACCACGTATTTTCAGAGTGCAGAATATGTGCTACGTGAAGGACTGGATTATGGTTGATTCAGAACGGGCTCTGTTATATTGGTAATTGGGAAAGCCCATGAATAGCAAGGAGAATAGTAGTTCAAGAATAATCTTAAATACTATTTATGGGACGCCACTGTTTTGGACTGAGCTCTTGCACTAGGCCCAGTAGACCACACCAAACCAGAATGGAGTCACTCCTACTAGGTGCCAGGCTGTCCAACTGAACTTTAAAAAGGGCAGCTTTCCAAAAAACAGGATATGCATAGCAGCCAATCAGAAGGGGCCCTGAGCAGGTTTGATGAGGAAGTCCCCTGTGCTTTAACCCAACAAGGGAAGTAACTGAGGCGCCAATCTGCCTTTCATTCCCTGTTTCTGCTTCTTCAGCCTTTAAAAGGCCTGTGAAGCCAAGTCCTCTGCCTCACTCAATGGAGCACATTTTCTCAACTTATGGATGGGATGCTGCCTTGTTCATGAATCAGTCATAAAAGCTAAAGAAATTTTAATGTTGTTGAAGTTTTGTTTTTTGACCATAGTAACCTCAATAGAAATAAAATTTGCAAGAGTTCCAATGTAATTAGAGCCTTACGGCAACTCAGTTAACCATTAAATACTTCGTACAGTAGTTAAGTACTCTTAGAACAGGTTAAACATCCCAAATTTGAAATCCGAAATGCTCCAAAATTGGAAACTTTTTTACTGCTGACACAATGCTCAAAGGAAATGCTCATTGGAACATTTTCGATTTGGGATTTTCGGATTAGAGGTGTTCCAGTGGTAAGTATAATGCAAAAAATCGGAAAAACGCTCCTGGTCCCAAGCATTTTAGATGACAGATACTCAACTTGAACACAGATATTCTAAGAGGCACTTCAGAATAGACAAAGCCTGCATTACGTTCTTCCTCATCTAGGGCAGTCTTGGGAATTCAAACAAAACACAGATCTATTTTCCCCCATCACAAACACACTCACTCGCCTAGCAGTTGACTAGGTTCAGACTCCAGCCATCTTGATCATCTTCTCCTTTACTCGGGGGTTGGTTTTCGTTGAATTCAAGGTTTGGAGTCTCTGGAATTTATACTCTTTTCCTAAATGAGAAGAGTAATAAAAATGAAGCGACTACACCAAGCCTTAGACATTTAACATCATATAATAATCTCCTGTTTATATGTTTGTCTCCTTCCTTTATAGCTCAAACATCAGCATGTGTCCTCTTCCTCCACTGGTCATTCGTCCAGTGTCTAGCAGAGTCAGTGTCTGTTATTTGCTGAATGGTGGGTAAACAGCTAAACACAGGAATCCCTGTGATATGAGAATTGTTGCCAACATCTAAAATTAAACCAGTTTTTTTTGATAGCAAATAATGTTAAGGTACAAAAAAGTAAAACACAACTCCTTTTAGGAAAAAGAAATCCTAAACTCAATATTACTCGGAGCAATTGCAGGAAAACTTACATAACTTGCCAGAAAGAACAACCCAAGACAGTCTATGAAACAAAACCGGGGTTGTGGTGACTTTTATCTGCATCATTGCAATTTAATTTCTCAGTTTTACAAGTAAAATGAAAATGAACGGGACCGATTGGATTAATGTTACAGTTTCCGGGAGGTGGTCACAGCTGAATCAATCCATTTACCTCCATGGGAGATGTTAATATATATCTTATTGCTTATTTTCTTTTAACCCAACACTTTAAGCTCAGCCAGGGATCCAAGGGATGATAGAGGTTGCTGGGCAGGAGTGTCAGTGAAGAGGCCAGTTAGATGCTAAGACTGGCTTAAGCTGCCCAGTGCTGGCACTCAGGAATCTGGAAAGTTTAACATTATCACCTGACACCAATCCTTTGTGAGGGCCCAGCAGAACCTTCCTTGTCTTCAGTGTGAGCTGTCTGCTTGTTCTGGAACACTTCTGAGCACTCTCATTCCAGGCGATGGAGAAGAGGAGGAGGCGAGCCCCCACCCTCCCTGTCTCCCATCTAAGATGTCACCGCGCTTTCCACATGAAGACATCTGGAGCTGTAAGGGAGGTTGTGCAGTTTCTATCCGTTTACTTAATAGCACCTCCACCAAGCAGCCACCTTCCTTGGAGTTCTCAGGGACACTCCCCTCCCCACAGACAGAGGCTCCTTCAGTTTCCAGGCCATGTCTCCTTTTTCAAGTCTGGGGGTGGATTGTGGGGTCCACTCACCTCTGTTTCTCTAAATCTCTCAAATCCCTTTCCTACCCTGGTATGTCCAGGATTCATCTCCTTAAAATTTATTTAAACGGCATGAGTTACAAATAAGATTAGGTAGCACATGCTATTTAGAAAGTTTCTGAAACAGAAGGAAAGAAGGAAGGAAGGAGTTGTTATGTAAATGAGAAATACTAAAAGGCTGTTTAACTGATATTGCAGACATTATAGTTCCATAAAAAAGATACAATTATGAAAAACAAGGTTTGTAAACATTTTTATTTTTTCTTAATTGGCCCTTGAGCAGACCAGATGACTCAATACTGGCCTCCAGGGATCAGCCTGCACTCCAGGGCATTATAACATACGTATATCGCTCATCCTATTTAACCTTTTGAGTCATAATTGTTTTCACCTTATTTACTGTAAACAGCTCTATATATCTATGTAGTATACACATTTCATTTAATATCTAAGTAACATATATTCTTGTACACCATTAAGTAGATCCAGTAAAGATACCCTGTCTTGCTTAATCATTCCCTAAATGTTAGGAGATTTGAGTTACAATTAGTGCAGCAATTCTCCCTGTACCTCCATAGAGATAATTCTATTTTGTTTCTCTAATGCATTTGTTTATTTTTCTGTATATGTGTTTACAGTCAGACAGGCAGCTTTTGTTTACTTCTCATCTTTGTGTATTATTCTTCAAAAAAGGATTTCCTGAATCAAAAAACACGATGAGCTTTATGACGGCTCCTGGCTTTTGCTGTTGGAGACTTTATAGCAGCAGAGAAGTTGAGGTCTGAATTAGCACAATGACCTTTTACTTTACAAAATTCTCATAAGAAAAACTTGCATGTTCTGTTTTTTAATTTGATAAATTGTCAGTTATGTATCATTGAATTTTTATCCCTGCTGAAATTATACCAGAACTACATATTTGCAGAAAATTCCAGAGGAGTCGGGATGGGCCCTTAGTGCATTAATCCATAGATTGTAACAATAGAGTACATGGTACTTTAAAAAAATCGAGAGCTTTCGAGAAATACTAAAAAGGCTGTTTAACTGACATTGCAGACACTATAGTTCCATACATAAAAAAGATGTAATTACGCAAAACAAGGTTTGTAAACCTTGACCTGTCACTCCTCTGACCTGTCACTCCTAAAATATGTCTCCTAGCAGTCATCTTCCGGCCTTCCTGGGCCAGACCTTTATGGATTACCTTAGGGTGATGATGGGGACCTGGTTTTCATGAGGCCATGTTTAAGTTCAGGGGTGACCTGGCTGGGGAGAGGGTATAAACCCATGAACACAGTCTAGCTGACAGACGAGGATTGCAACTTTGTAAAGAAGAACCCAAGGCCTGATCAGAAGGAGATGCAAATGAGGTCATTTTTAATAGAACTAGGAGTGGGGAGGACAAATGGATTGGGGTTATTCTCAGAGAGAAAAGGCCTGGATAGGGGACTGTTTTGGGAGAGCCTAGAAACCACAGAAGTGTCCCAGACATCCGAGCTATAGTGGAGAATAGAGTGGAATGAGAGCGGTCATGAAAAAGAGCAAGGGAACACAAGAGAAATTTGGTTTGCTTATTTCTTTCTTTCTTTCTTTTTTTTTTTTTTGAGATGGAGTTTCGCTCTTGTTACCCAGGCTGGAGTGCAATGGCCCGATCTCGGCTCACCGCAACCTCCGCCTCCTGGGTTCAGGCAATTCCCCTGCCTCAGCCTCGAGTAGCTGGGATTACAGGCACACGCCACCATGCCCAGCTAATTTTTGTATTTTTAGTAGAGACGGGGTTTCACCATGGTGACCAGGATGGTCCCAATCTTGTGATCCACCCGCCTCGGCCTCCCAAAGTGCTGGGATTACAGGCGTGAGCCACCGTGCCTGGCTGGTTTGCTTATTTCTCTCTAGGCACGGTTCTGCCCTTAGCAACCTAAGGCAATTTCACAAAGCCCCACTCAATGCACAGGATGTAGAACATGGCAGAAGCTTCCACTCTGGTTTGACTGACTTTTGCGGACTGAGCTGGAAAGCCAAAAGGACACATTTCAGTGTGGACATCCAAGTCTTAGTAGGTGTGGTGAGGGCTGGGAAGGCCTTGGAGAAGTAAGTAAGTGTCTTTGCAACTGTGTAGCTATGGTTTTCTGATTAGCAAATCTGAGGACAGGGAGGTATTGTGACCAGGGCTGTGTGATTCTGGGCAAGCCTCTTTTGACCCTGCCCACATGGAAGACTCTGCTTTGGATACAAAAACAAGGCGGGATACTGATACAATGGACTCTAACTTGTCCATGGCTGCCTTTTGAACAATTTAGTACATTTGAGTAACCTCCGCAAGCCTGCATCTCCAAGGCAAAGTTCCTGCTCTTCTGGGGAATTTACTTGTGAATTGTCTGTTTTGTGTCCCATTTTGACTCCAGCATTCCAGGACTCATCTTTTTGGAAGCCTTGGTTTGGAATTTCCCATTGGATGGGGCCACTTGGGTGCTGGGAAGCTTCAACCTGGCTTCTGTAAGAACAAAGCCTCAAGGGTGGTCTGCTAGGAGAATGGAAATGCCATTGATTAAAATTGGAAGGTTAGGAGAGAGGCCTGAGTTTGGAATAGGAGATGAAGTTTTAAAAAATCAGTTTTTAAAACAACCTTTCTCATCTGAAATGCCAGTGAATATTCAGACAGATTACATTGAAAAGACTGCCATTTCTGTAGCAGCAACGAATGAAGTCATCTGAGTGGATGAGGTGCACTAGGCCATACATGGAGAAAAGAACGGTTACCCAAGCCTCCCCTGACTGTGTGCGGCCACAGCCTCTTCACATTTCCTAGTTAGGAAGGATGCTGGGGTCTGCTGGGATCTCCATGTTTCTACCTGTACTTCAGAGGGCTGGATTTCTGCCTTGTAGACAAGTCGCAGGATTTGCTCTACTGAGAGAGTTTTTCTGCAGAATGCAAGTTTCCTCTTTCAGACACTGATAGCTGGTTTTGCTTCTAGAATCATTTTCAGCTACATACAGAAAAATGAAATTGGCAGAGCTGACGGAAGTTTGGGTATTAGGAACGTCCAGAAGGCAGGCTGAAAAGTTAACCCCTTCTCTTCACCCCTGTCCTCACTGCGGCCCCCTCAGTGGCCTGACTTCTGCCTGGGACCCAGAATGTCACTTGAGGATGGGACTACCCGCAGACCTCCAAGCGCTCCTACACAAACAGCAAACGGCGTCGGCCGACCGCATCCGCTTTTCAGATGAGAATGGCATCTGCAGGGACCCGCTGGTCCTGGGGCCAGGTCTCCGCAGGGTCTGTCCCGTCCTTCCTTCCCACTGGGACTCTACGGCCAGGCGGGGTCGGGAGAGCTGATGCCGGAGGGCGCTGGGGGAGCCTGGCCCGCGCGGGGCCGGTCCGAGGGCGGAGGCAATCCGCCGGCGACGCCGCAGGTCCCCGGGTGGCTGACGCCGTCCGGGGGCGTTCCTGGGAGCTGGGGGCCGGCGAGCCTGGACCCGACGCGCCCGGGAGGAGCTGGCTGGCGGACACGTGACCCACCACGGCGGGGCCAGCGGCCCAGAAATAGCAGCGGCGGCGATTCCACCCGTTGGCTGCGCGAGCGAGGGACCCAGGCGGGAGACGCCGGCGGGGCGCGGGCGCGGCGGCCCCGGAGGATGCTGCTGAGCCCCGGCCTGGTCCGGCCGCGAGCACATGATGGCAATACGGGAGCTCAAAGTGTGCCTTCTGGGGGTGAGTCCTGGCCGCCACCCGCCGGGGGACCCCGGCCCGCGTCCCCGCGCCCCCTCGCTCCCCTTGACCCCGCGCGCTCAGTCCCCGCGGTCCCCTTGCTCTCCGCACCCCTTTCGTAGCTCCCGACCCCTCTTCCGCGCGCCCACCTGGTTACCCGGGTCCCTTCGCTCCCCTAGTCCGTGCGTCCCTTGCTCTCCGCACCCTCCTTGTTGTCCACGTCCCCCTCGTCCTTGCGACCCTCGGGTCCGCCCCCGCTCTCGCCCTGCGGGGGTCCGGTTGGAGCCTGCCCTGGGCTTTCCCCGCTCTTTCCTCTCCGTTCCCGCGTCTCCGGATCCGCGACGGCCTTGCTGGGACCCTCGGCGGGGACCCGGCAGTGGTATCGGGTCTGGGACCCCGAGGGCTTTCTCCTCCGCCTTTGATAGTTTCCTTCCGGCAGAAAGTTTAAGTAGCTCGGCCAAATCGCTGAGTCCTCTTTTGCCCCCTTTTCACTTAAAACACAAAAATAAAACCAAAAGCGAACCCAGCCAAGGGGGTGAAAGCCGAGGGCGCGGCTAGGGTGGAAGGTGAGGCAGTGACTTGTGTGGAGCGCGTCCTGCAAACTTACCTGCTGCAGATCAAAGAAGCAGGCTGGGAAAGTCCTCCCCACCACCACTCCTCCCAAAGTGAGGTTTTCTCAGCCCGAAGAAGCCTTAAAGCCGCCAGAAACGAAGAAGCAGTGAATCCGGGCGGCCCGGGGACACAGGCAGGGGACCCGGCGAGGACGCAGGGGAGCCGCTGGCGAACAGCCCCTGGGAATCCAGATCAATGTAAGGTCCCTTCCTTTCGGGGGCCCACATCGCATTCCAGAATTCCTTCTTCTAAAAGAGGAGCTGGTTCCAAGGGCGTTTTCAGCAGCCTTTGGCATGGGCGCCTGGTGTACCCGCCCATGTCGTTGGCAAAGCTGGTCTCATGAAAACCATTTCCTAAAAAAGAGCAGCGAAAGGGTCGCATTCTTGTGCGAACTGATCTGTCAAGATGGGGGTACAAGAACTGTAGAAAGAGGAAATGATTTAGGTGAAGACTGAATTGTGCCAGAGTTTCTAGGCTTTCTCTAGGTTTTTCTGGAACCTTGGGCAGGACCATGTTCTCTCCCCTAGCTCCCATCACCGGCCTCTGCCAAAACCATCCTTTACCCTAACTCGATTGTCCAGTTGGTCTAGAATTCCAGAGGATCTGGGAAGGCCCTGCCCTCCCTGGTAGTCCCTGGAGATCCCCACCTACCCCCACTCGCTCAGCCACAGCCAGGATCTAGTCTGGTCTTTCTCTGTTGCCCTATTGGTGTTGCAGAAGTGGATTTCCCTGTTCCCCAGGCCCTCTAATATAGTCCAGACAAACATTCTTGGAATCCCATGCTTCCCTCTTGAGGAGCCATTTCGGCCTCCGGGAAGGCCTTCAGAGAGTTAGAAGGAATGTCATGTTCCAAGGAATGAAGAGGCAGCCTTGATGTGTGCTGTTTGTCAGGATTGGCCTTGGGAAAAATGAAATAGGACATGTTTTTGCCTCTTTTTCTTAAACTCTTTCTCTTGTCTTTTACTGAGGTGGTCTAAGCCCTGCCCTATTAGAGGACCCCTTATTTTCAATTTTGGTATTTAGGGACAGGTCTCTATATCCTCCTGCCAGGACACTGATCAAGTGGTAAGAACACTGTGTCAGGAGGCAGGAAACCCAGGCTCTCATTCTTTCCCACCAACGAGCTGTGTGGTTTAAGCAAAGCAACTCAGTGGCCTCATCTATGAAATGGGCATAATAACGTGTTTCCTCTTAAGGCAGAGAACTATACCAGATGATCTCTTAAGACACATGCTACCATTTCCTACTAACATGAGTTCAGGGTGGCAATTAGCAAACCTGGAAGAGGAGGCAGCTGGAGGAAATCTCTTTACTTCTTTTATCTTCAAGAATGAGACACTCTTTGAGTGACTTCCTGCAGGCGGTGCCTTACCTTTGCCAGTTCTGTGGGTAGGAATTTGAAGCTGGAGTTGGGAGAACCATGCCAAAGCAGAGAAAGAAGAGGTTTCTGGGCAGGCGGAAGGCTTTGAAACATCAGTCATGCTGGGCACAGTGGCTCACGCCTATAATCCCAGCACCTTGGGAGGCTGAGGTGGGTGGATCATTTGAGGTCAGGTTCGAGACCAGCCTGGCCAACATGGTGAAATCCTGTCTTTACTAAAAATACCAAAAAAACGTTAGACGGGTGGTAGTAACCCATGCCTGTAATCCCAGCTACTCTGGAGGCTGAGGCAGGAGAATCACTGGAGCCTGGGAAGCAGAAGTTGCAGTGAGCTGAAATCGCACCCCTGCACTCCAGTCTGGGTGACAGAACAAGACTCTGTCTCAAAAAAAAGAAACATCAATCATATCACACCACAATTGTGGCTTCCTTTTTTCTTGAGGGTGGCTGTAAGTTTCAGTTTGATTGAAGTCAGAGGACATTTTATTTGAAAGGCCAAATGACCTTTTGTCCACACTAAGTAAGATTTGTTACATCCCCTCGTTTGGCTATCTCTTGTTTGGCTATCTCTTCCGTGGGTAAGATGTGCGCAGCAGGCCGGCTTTCTAGCTACTCGTCCAATTAGGCTGGTTCTCTGGGTGGGAACCAGCCTAATTGGCTCCATTTAAGGGAGATCAAAGCCATTTTAACTGTCTTGGGTTTACTCTCTTCTCTCTCTCTTTTTGTTTGGAGACAGTGTCACATTCTGTCATACAGGCTGGGTGCAGAGGTACCATCATAGGTCACTGCACCTTCCAATTCCTGGGCTCAGTGGATCCTCCTGCCTCAGCCTATGTTTATTCTTCTGATTGGAGAGACCCTGTGGGTCAGTTAGTGCTCAGTCCAAAAGTCCTTTAAAAAAATATGTATGTTTTTGAGATAGGGTCTCACTCTGTCGCCCAGACTGGAATTTAGTGGTGCCATCACGGCTCACTGCAGCCTCAGCCTCCCAAGCTCAGGTGATGGTCTTACCTCAGTTAAGTAGCCAGGACCACAGGTGTGCACCACCCAGCGCAGCTAAACTTTTGATAATTTTTGTAGAGACGGGGTCTCCCTATGTCGCCCAGGCTCTTTCAACATTTTAACAGGAACCCTGGGCTCCTTTGTTCTTTTCATAGGGAGGTCTGTCTCTTCTGGGTGAAGTTTTGCGTGTCGCTGGCACTCAGCTTCCTGTTTTTCAGCCATGAGGCACCTCCCTGAAGTCTTGATAGGACCAAGATCCTAACAACCACACCTTCTTTGTCCCTGTTTGAATCACTTTCTGTTGGGTTTCTCTTAGAAGCTGATAGAGAATGTAGACTTCATAACAGAATCTCACTCTCTCACTGGGAAGGCTGAGGGGCTGGTCTTTTTGTGCCTGGTCCTGTGCTCAGTGAGGACTTGGGGATGTGCTTCCCATTTGAGGTACAGGTTGGTTTAGGCATGGGCAGTGAGAACTTTCAGCACAGGCTCCCTGCTGGTCACTCTTTGCTGTAGTCTCCTCCTCCATCTACGGGGTCAGGGGTCTTATCTCCTGACATTAGAGTCATTTGCAGGAGGTTGGAGTGAAACTGGGCCAGGTGCCAAGTCTTCTCTACCTGAACTTTTCCTGTCTTCCTGGCATGTTAGGAATGTCTGATCTTACTTCTTTTGGTGAATGCTCCCACAAGGGATGGACAGCGGCTTGTGGAACATTCTCTGAATGCTTTTTGTTCTTGGAAAACCAAAGACTGAAGAGCATTGGGTTTGTTTATGTTATCTGTTATAAATCCTTGGCTCACATTTCATGTGTGGACTTTCTCAGGTTTATTCCACATGGGGATAGCGCAGCAAGCATTTGAGGACGCCCTTTCCTGGCCTAAGCCCCATCACCTATGGAAGTCAGCCATGCAGGAGGGTGTGCCTGACAGGGGAAAGCACCGTGGGCAGGACCCCATGAACCTCTTTCTTACCAGGAAAGTGTCATTCGCCCCACTTTGTGATCTGAACCTGTATTATGAAACATGGAGCTTAAAGGCAACACCCTTAAAAACAGCAAAGTATGTTACAAAAAAAAAACTAACGAAAACAATATTGAGGCAGCAGCTGCTTCAACCCCAAAGGTGGAAAGTTTCCCAGTATGCATTTTTAACACACATCACCATGTGGCAAGAAGCAGGAGGATGGAAGAGAGTGGGGAGGAGGAGAAAGAAAAGGAGGGGACCTTTGTTTTGTTATTTCCTTGTGGTGTTTGTGTGCTTGCACTTAAAAACGGCTTCCTGATGGAATCCCAAAGAGATTTATATTTGGGCTCTGGTTGCCTTGACAACAATTTAGAAATTTCTACCACTTCCCCAGTAGCTGAGTGAGTAGTTAGAAGAGCCGAGGGCTTTCTTGATTCTGGTAAGGAGCTTGTTGAAGCATCTCCTCGTGATCTTTGTTGGAATCTGTGTGGTGGTTCATCAAAGAGCAGCCAAATACCTTTGATTTGGTGAGACATCTAGGTAATGGGGACTTTACCTGTGTCCAAGGCCTCCACACAGAAGGCCTCTTGTCTTCTCAAGGACACTAGGACTCAAGAGTAGAACAGATTTATACTCGCATTAAGGCAGATCATCAGAGCTGTGCAACCTTCCATGGGTTGCTTTGAGCGCGATATGAGAGAGTATTCAATAAATCGACAGGAATTTGTTAGTGTTATTGTGGAAGGAAGGAATGCACTGGATAGTGGGTTGGGATAGTAATGATCACATTTGCTCTCCAAGTCTGAGATTCTAGTAACTTACTATTTTTCTTACCCCAGGGACTGGCATTTCTTGGGGAGGGGGGATGGTGTGGAGGGTGGAGTGGCATTTATTTCTTGGCACACCTGATTCGTTTATTAAACTGAACCATTTGTGGAAAGTATGTTCAACATTGGTGACTCTGGGTAGCTGCTGTGTTACATGAGAATAAATATAAATGATATAGTGGGATGTCTTCCCAGCAGTGCCTGGCATATGGCAACGCTGTGTCTTATGCACCCAGCCAGGCTCATGGGATCCATCAGGGTCCCTTTGTTCCTTTTTTGTTCAGGGTCAACATTGCTGCTTTCATCCTCCCTGGGCTTTCAGAGCTCAGTGCGTCCCTGGTGTGTATATCAGAATCATGTGAGGAGCATTTTCAAGCTTCTCATGGTCTCTTCCCCCATCCCTTGTGTCTTAATTTGAACTGCTGTCATAAAAATACTATAGGCTGGAGGGCTTAAACAATAGACATTTAATTCTCAGACTTCTGGAGGTTGGGAAGTATAAGACCAAGGTGCCGGCAGATCTAGTGTCTGGTGAGGGCTCACTTTCTGGTCTGCAGACAGCTGCCTTCTTTTGGTCTTTGAGTCTCTTTCTCCTCTTATAAGGACACCAACTCCATTCATGGGGGCTCTACCCTCACAACCCAAGCATCTCTCAGATGCCCATCTCCTAATAGTCTCACATTGGGGGTTTAGGCTTCAAAATGTGAATTTTGGTGGGGAGACACGAACATTAATTCCATAGTAGCTTGTCAATAGCTTTGAGGCATGTGGCCCTTACTTTTGCCCTGGTCCAAAGTCTGGTAGACTACACTTATTTGGTGTTTGCATGCTTGTGCAGATTTTACACTTTCATTTGTCTTAGTTTTTATCATGTATGATATGTGTTTGAAAATGGAATAGGTATTTGTTCATTCAGCCATTCACCATTTGTGGAGTGTTTCTTTCATGCTGGAAGCTATGGTGCAGGTAGACGAGACAGCAGTGACTGCTGCCTTCCCGAGGACAGGAACACACCAGCAGTGAGCTCTGTCGCATTGACTGGATTCTGATTATGGTACTTACCGTGGCCCACCATGCAGAACAGAAGTAGTGTGGTCTGCTGATGAGAAATACTGACTGTCATCTCACTTATTAGACATGATGGCGTGGGAGGGACAGAAAGTTCTTGCTCCAGCTCTGTCTTGGGTACCTGCAACGGCTCAGTGCTGTGCTAACTCTGCTAGAGACAGAAAGTAGGTCAGGCAGGGATCTGGTCCC